TTTATTTCAATTGTGAATGTTTCCGATGAGGGCATGACGTCAATAGTTTCATGGTAAACGTTTTGGGTATTTTTCAACAAGCCGAAATATTCTATTTTCATTCTCTCTGTTGATAATGGCACTGGCATCGATGACCTTTTCATTAATTGTGAATTCAATACTTGAGGTGAATGATTAATAGAAATGATTGAACGTAGATCTGAAAAAATGAAACGAATGTAATAAATTCAATACGATTCAATAGTTTGTTTCGGTTTGCTTATTATCATTTGTTTCCTCAGTTTTGGCGGCTCTGTAAGATTCAAGTGCTTTTGGTTTATCTCTTTGGTTATGTTTAATGCTCCAATGTTTTCGTAAATTGCTCATGTTTTGATATTCTGTGTGGCACTTTTCACAAAAAAAACATTTTACCAATGGACCATGCAAACGAATATGACGTCTCAAGTTAGAAACGTATCCACGAATTACAGTTCGACATAAAAAACACTCAAGAACTCGGTTTGGATCTTTTTTTGAACGCATTTTCACAAATGTGCAAGTGTTTAAAATAATGTTATCGAATATTGTAAACAAAACAGAAAAGTCGAAAAAAGAAACGTCACATTGAATAAACCGGAATAAACCGTCAAAAAATAATGTGGTGAGTTTATCAACATATATATTTTGCCTACATTTTGGAGCACATTAGTAAAAGACGATAATGCAATTGATTGCAATTAAAAAAGAGAAAAATAATAAATACATTTAAAAAAAAAATTCAGAAAATAAAAAATGATCGAAAATCAATAAACATGTCATGTTATATACTTATATAAAACTATATTTAACATAAAAAAAATCAAGATTGTTTGCGTTCATTTGAATGTGCCTTAGTTTGATATGCTTATGAACATAGAAATGCCAGGCGGCAGCACCTCTGCATGTCTGAAAGTAAATGTATTAGTTTATATAGAATGCGATCAGACGACGAATCAAGTTGTACATAATATCAACAACTGAGCAACAAACCGATCAATGTATTGACAATTATTTATATAAATTGCAAATAAAAACATTTTTGCAACATATCAGATTCTGAAAAGTATAAGAAAATTCGTCTCTTTTCCTACACTCTGTCTTCAGCAAATAAAGATAAGTGGTTTTTAACGAAAAAAAAGAAATTGTTGCTATGCAGTATGTGACTAAGCGTGACGGGAGCTTACTTATTCATGGAAAAAAATTAAAAAATTGAAAGACTTTTACACAGAACCGTTCTCATCGCGATATTTGAACATATAAGAATGTGATCTAAATTTCGCGGACTCTGAATATTATGATATTAATGATATTAAGTGCAAGCCCGTTTTTTTCCCATTATTGCACACTTTATAATTGTAATTTCTCAAAGTTTCAATAAAAAATATACTGGTGTATCACATACACTGAATAGTTTATTTCATACACCCATTTCTTTTTCATGGTGTATTTCATACACCATAATTAGTACATTGTATACACCACAATTTGTATACACACGGAATACACTAAAAGTGGTGTATAACATACACCATAACGGAACCTTATACACCAAATTGTCTGTCATTTGAAATGCTAAAATCTGTTTACAGTACATGCTTAAACGTCAAACACAAATCAGTCGGCATTTTCGTTTCAACAACACTAGCATTATGGCTAACGTAATTAATATTTATAAAAAGTTTTTGGTTGTCGAGTTTTTGGAACAGGATGGTTCAACCACTGTGGAAGCAGTTCCTTACACATGGTATAAAGATGGTGATATTTATTATTATTATTATTATTATTTATTGCTTTTTACGTCTACTTAAATAAGCCGACGGTTGAGATTAGTACAATTTTTATACAAATAAATTTTTGGAAAGTAGTTTTAAAACTCTAGCTAGTTTAAATGAAAGTGAGTATAAGATACAAGTTCAGTTCAGTTTTGTTCAATAAATCTAATATTACGTCAGTCACAGTTAGTGTGTAAATTCTTTGAATTCATATCTATAAAAATAACAAGTTTATCACAGAAAATATTTGATTATTTAAGCTTATTGAGATCTCCGAAGGCTTTATCTGGTAATTTAATTAGCTTTTAATTAATTTTATTGGCCGCGATCTAGACGTAATCAAAAAAAGCAAAGTGTTTTGGAAGCACCTGTTGAACTGAATGATGATAGTGAATAGGAAAAATGTAAGCTGATTGAAGTGAAAGGTGTATTTGATTTTTTTAATGAGGCAACAGCAACGGCAAAATCGATCGCATCTTATACCGATTCGGAAGGTGAAAAGGCAAAGCGGACTTTTTCTTGAATTTCTTGTCCTGAAAAAATGTTCTTTCATTTGATTATTCAGTCTGACTCGTGTTGGGAGTGTATTGAGGAAAATTGGGAAAATCGTGATCTTTGTTGCCACAAAGCGCACAAAATGATATCGATACAAACAATTGGTTGTGCCCGGTGTGTGTTGCATCGGAAGCTGCTGACGACAAGTGAGTTGAATGATTCAATTTTTTTAATTCGAGAGCCCTCGAGTTTTTCCAAGAGTGCCAGAAAAATTTTTCATATCGAGAAATTATCAGATCCATTTGATTCTTTTTGTCAATTTCAATGTTTAACAAATAAAAAAAATCCAACTGTATTCTTTTCAGACCAAGTGCTATGTAATGGTTGCCGTTAATCATGGATCGTGTGATTAAAACCGATTTCGTAAGTGTAAAAACATCTCGAACAATTTTTTTTTTACAAAAAATGTAACCTAACTTTTTTCCGTTTTTATCATACAGTATCAAGTGTGGAAGCAGACGCACCATTCCATTGTTATTCTCAACAATTTGCGAACTGTCATGAACAACATTCACTCATACAAAAACTTTGCCGAATTTCGTGGTGATATTTTGTGGATTCGTCACAATTGCATCAGTGCATACAGTGGTTGGTACATTCAATTTTATGACGGAACTCCCCAATTTTTTTGTTATATCTCCAGTAAAAATGATTGAAATTTTTGAATTCCGATTGAATTGTTCAATTAAAAAAAAAAACATTTTATAAAATAAAATAATTTCTAGATTTCGATCGAGATGAAAAGAGACAAGCTGCTGGTAAACTGGCTCACGCCAACGTGCCAACAACCGACGTTTACTTATATTCCGAAAGTGTTTTGAATCAATGGTCCAACAATGCCGCAATCATAGTAAGTTTTATACACATTTCCATATGTAAAATCAACTCTAAATGTTTATATTTAATTTTGTAAACAGGAAGTGTGCGGATACATCGAAAACATTCGTAAAAAGTTCGGCTCATTTGCAATGGCCAAGGCCAAAACGTTGTTCAATCCGACATTGTATGAAAGCTACCTATACGACATGGTGCCTGAATTGGCCGAACGCTGTGCAATGGATTCGAGTCCTAGTTCATCATCGATGGGACGACTGCCAGATGAGTCTGATAATAAAAAAATGCGTTTAGCCGAAAAAAATGATGACAAACCCGAAGAAGGTACCCCGTATTGTGAAAGCAGATTGTGACTTTGATTATTTAAACAATTAAAAATGATTTTCTCAAGGGGCTTATGACATATGTGAATCGCAAGAGTCTCATATAAATTATACTAATCAATAAGAGTCTGTATGTGATTTGCGAGTCCCCTTATGATTTTCGAGTCAGTAAAAAGTCTCAATGACAGGTTTTAAGCGAATGTTAAATCATAACAATTTGTTGACCACCAATAAGAACAAACATGTCATACGTCCTCAGCAGGGGTCCGAGGGGTCCGATTAACCCCCCCCCCCTGACGAAGTGTTACCCCTTCAAAATTTTCAAAGAATTCTTTCAATTTGCTAGGGATTTTCGCCAAAAAAGTGAGGAGCAAAAAAAAAAAAAATTTTCCCCTTAAATTTTTTCCTTGAGGACGTATGCTACTACCCGTAGAATAAGAGGAATTCCTCATAAGCTTATCTATACGGCTCAAAACTTGTAGTTGTTAGAACCAGTGATGGTTTTTTCCTATCTGAATAGCGCTAGCGTGCGGCAACCGCTTCGATTCAGCATCTGGGCAGCAATGCTGTTCAGACGCTGCGAATAGCTAGCGCTATTCAGATAGGAAAAAACCATCACTGGTTAGAACAGGCAAATCTCACAAGCATATTTATTTATACAAGCACAGAGAGAAAAAATGTGGTATTTTTAATTCAATATTGGTAGATTTAATGTAAAATCAACCAACAACGAATTAAATTTACCATTTTTAACATCTCTGAGGCATATTTTTCAATAGAGACTATTAGTTAAATAAGTTTTACCAATCGGCACGTATAAAATTGAAAAATGTTTTTTCCAGCATTAAAATTTTCCAAAAAAAGTCCATATAAAAAAATCCCATACAAAAATATCACTTTTTTGTGATTTTTACGTGTTAGGACAATTTGTGATCCGACCCTATGGGACCAAAGTGTACAAAAGTACATATTTTCTGTGAGTACAAATTGAGTACTAAATCGCTGTGCATGGCCTGGAAATGCCTATGTAATTTACATATAAACGAGTGAGACTCAAACATGTTCTTCTTTTTCCATCAAATATACCAGTGGCGCCACCAATTTTACATACAAGCGCATACAAAATTTTCAATATGGCTGCGCCCATGAGAGAGAAAATTTCGTCTCATTCATTTCCGCCCCATGTCGCTGTGAAAAAAATTTCCCCAAAAAAATCCCGTTAAAAAAAATCCCATACAAAAACTACGTTTTTTGTGATTTTTTCGTGTTTGAGCATTTGTACTCGGAACCTAAGAGACCAAAGTGTACAAAAGTATATGTTTTCTGTCGGTACAAATTGAGTACAAAATCGCTGTGAAAAAAATTTCCCAAAAAAAATCCCGTTAAAAAAAATTCTCATACAAAAACTACGTTTTTTGTGATTTTTTCGTGTTTGAGCAATTTGTACTCCGAACCTATGAGACCAAAGTGTACAAAAGGCGCCATTTTAACCTTCATATGCCCTTCAAAAAAAATTACAAATTTTACCCTTGTGCGTGGATTTCTACGCATATGGAATTTGTATGGAAAACACATATTTTGACAGATTTTTTGAAGATATTTTTGATTTTACTTGATTTTTTTCAAAAATCATTACATTAAAAGTGATTTGTTTTTAAAGTAGGCGTTCTACAATACATTTCACGCACACATTTCGATTATGGGTGCTTTTGCAAACACCTTTAGTACAAAAACAACAGATAGTTTCATGCATATTATTTCTATTGGCGGATTTCTCAGTATAGCACATGTGACATCTTGATCTGCCTTTCGACACCGATGGAACACTTTTTGCTCTTTTACGAGGAATTTCGAATGATGTAGATGGTAGCAAAGTTGGTGAACCTTCACGTGACATCGAAGACTCACGAGAAATGGAGGAAGACGAAGACTGAATAGCTGGTGAACTTTCACGCCATTGTAGGGATTCTCGGCTCGCTGAAAGAAGCGATGCTGATGATTCAGATCGTGGCACACCTTTTCTCATATCCATGTATGGCTGCGCAAGAGAATATCCAAGTTCCCGTAGAAAATTGCGTCGTAATGTAGTTTTCTGTGTTGTTTGCCAATTCGGTGACACTTCTTTGAAAATGACAAATGCGTTCAAGGCTGAAATATCGATTATATTCGAAAACACGACCATAGGCCAACGATTTGTTTTGCGCTTACAGCTGTAACACGAAAGCATCTTGTCAACCGTATCCACACCACCTAAAGAAAAGAAATCAAAGATCATGTGAAAAAATATCAAATTACCATCAAAAAGTAGCATTTGACAAACCTTTAGTTTTGTTGTAGTATTCTATAATTTCGGGCAATTTTTTGTCGCCGGATCCTACATCATTTGAACTATGCATTGTGCTTTGCAAAATCGTGCACTTGTTTTTTCGTCCGACATATGAAACGAGTGTTGTGTCTTTCGTGAATGCAAAAGTTGACTGGTACAAAGGAACTTTTTTACATTCAAGGAGCTTTGGTGGAATGCTTCTTTTATTTTTTCGCATCGTACCAACCATTGTGAGACCTTTTGATAGCAATTTCTGCCCAAGTTCATAAGATGAGAAAAAGTTATCCATTGTTACGTTGTGACCTTTCAGTCCGCCAATAAGATCCAATACTACGCGTGCACCTTGTCCTTTTTCAGCCGAATCAACACCAACGGCTTTTCCCAAATATGGCTGTATTTTCCATACATAACATGTTTCAGAACAAACTAATTGCCAAAATTTTATGCCATATTTTTCTGGTTTGGATGGCATTGCAAACTTGTCGGTGGATTTTTGTTGTCGTCTGTTCATGACATCATCGAAACGCATAACTCGGCTCATGTATTGGAATGTTTTCTTTGACATGATCGCTCTGAAAATTGGACGGCCATATTCACCGTCAAATAAATCAACCAAATTTTCATTTTTTGATCTAGGTAAAATAAAAACCCAAACATAAAAATCATCTCAAAAAATGAAAGAAAAATCCAACAACACACCTGTATACACCGGCCAAGATTAGTACAGCGATATACGCATGTAATAAGTTTGAATCGATTTCAATGGCATTTTCGCCATACGTCGCCTTTGCATACGCATTCGAATTCTTCAAAATAATGTTTTCAACTGGTGATGGAAAGAAAAGGAGAAATGCATCTTTGATAGAATCAACACGGTTTTTTGCAAATCTTGTTAGTCCCGGACGAAGTGTGATAACGTTTTCTTTACGCAATCTTCCACTTCGATCTGTCACTGGTTCAGAGTTCCAAACTATGCCATCTTTTGAAATAAACGTTGGATCAGCATTTTCATCAATTTCAATATCGTCTGCTGAGCCATCAATTTCGATATCGTCCGGTTCTTCAACATCAGAATCACTTGTTTCAATCAAACTGTCTTCTTGTAATTCACATTCGTCATCGCTAATGTCGGCATCTTCGTCGTCAGTCTCATTCAATAGTGTTTCCAACTCCTCTTGTGTAAGATATTTTGGTCTAGCCATGTTATATTTTTGAAATTATTCTTCAGAAAATTTCATAACAATACACAACATTGCACACACTCACTAAACTTGCAAAAAAAAGGTTGACTGAATGACGTTTTTTCCGTCAAATACGTTGAAATCCCATATGAGTAGAAATCTACTCACTGAAGGTAGTCTATGTAATTTTTTTAATATTCCGATGCGAAAAATACTTTTGACATCGGGTAACATTTTTTTATGTTTAAAATAAAGCAAAAATTAAAGTCAAGAAGTTTCATAAAAATTGGTTTAGAATTTTTCGAAAAAAAATAAAAAATAAAAATGATATGCGTAGTTTTCTACACCAGGAGCATATAAAGGTTAATAAGCGCCATCTCTGTCACGCCAGGTTCTCATATATTTTTTTCTTGCAAATAAAATTGCAAAATTGTTTGAATTGAATAAGTTTTGCGATAATAATAACGAAAATAATTAATAGTTTGTGTGTTTTTTCAATTTTTTTTATTTATTATAAATTCTATTAATTATTTTCGTTATTATTATTGCAAAACTTATTCAATTTATACAAATTTGCATTTTTATTTGCAAGAAAAAATATATGAGAACCTGGCGTGATAGAGATGGCGCTTCTTAAATCAAGTCGCGTTGAAAGCCGACTATAAGTGATACTCGTTCAAAACTCATTCCTAAAATTTATTTTTCAATGTTTTTTTTTTATTCAGATTTTATACATCTAACGTCGTTTCATGCGTTCTATTTTTTTTTGTAAACATATGAAATCAGTTGCTTATTTTTATTTCGAGCCATATATATCATTGTTCACTTGTTCAGCTGCCTCCCTCAAGCCTATTTTTCCGAAAAAAACATCGAAATTCGAGCAGAATTTAAATATCTGCGAGCGAAATAGCTTTGTTCTATAATCATTGAACCATTCAACGTTGACACGTTGTACATCAAATCCAATGACTTTTGCGGTCCAATGTGGCCAACCTCTTATTTTTCCCCATACAACGTCGTCTATAGCAAAATCAATTTTTGCTACTGTTTGGTTTGACTCAAATGTTTCTTGGCGTAATGAAGATTCGACGTTTTTTATTGGTTTGTCAACAATTTTTTTTTTGCGTTCAAATATATATTGATGCCGTAAGTGTTATTATATGTTCGGGGACTTCTGCCAAGCCGTGAGCATTTGTTACAGCCGAATTTTCTTGAGTCATTTTTTCGCGATGCAAATCTTTCATTCGTTTTGACAAAACTTGTGCCAAGAAGTTTTAACGATTCTCATTTCTCTTTGAGTACATCGAGACGCGAACGTATAATGGATATTTTTACACAGCTTATCGCCTTCTTCTGTGAGTTCGTCTATTCTCCAACTTTCATATTTGGCCATATCCTTTTCATGTTTGCAATGTGGCTCACTGTCAATGGTCCCCCAAATTATCTGGAAAGCAAAGATACAACTCAATATCTGGAATGCAAAATTTGATTGCTTTTCTCATTCCATCTTCGAAATCTGTCATGAACTTTGTAGGTTTAATTTAATTTAATTGTAGGTTGATATAATTAAAGACCGCAGCATATGCAACAGCGCTTTTGTGTGTCATGAGGACATAAAAAGCAGGAATAACCTGAAAAACTCAAAAATTAAAAAATTACAATGGATTGGATACAATATTCATTCAATTCCAAAATCTATAAAACTGTTTTGGATGTTGGATGAATGTTGGCTGAATTCATATTAAATTAAAGTTTCAAAAGAACTTACATCATCTCTGAATTCAATGTAAATAATTAGCAATTGATACCAACGACCAAATGGGCGAATACGAAATGTACAATACCATCCATTAAATATAATCTTTGATTTGGAATGTGGTTCGAAATCATTTCCACACAAAAACGGTAAATCCAAAATTGTCCGTGATTTCTGTGCCAGCGTGAAATGCTGAGGTTTTCCGAAGATTCATGCCATACTCCTTCAAAAATAGAAAACCTTCAAAAGCATTTTTAATTTCTTCTGCACCCCAAAGATATCGATATTTAATGTTGCTTCGACGTTGGATAGTTTTTTCGATACTACTGTATTTTGGGCACGATTCGCCCAGTTTACGCCTTGTAGAAAGGAATTAAAATGAATTTACACATTACAAATATCAAAGAAAAATTAATCATACTAAAACTAAACTAACTTCTTAATACCCGAACGTCATTGGATGAGTTTTCCGATCGTATTTTGATGGTATGTTTGACAGCGCTCTTTCGTATTTCTTGATTATCGTCTACCAACATTGTTAGAAGAACATTTTCCGAGTGAGCGAAAAATGCATTTTCGGCAGCAACAGTTTCCACGAGTTTCTTCGAAGTTTTCGGCAACCAATCAATCAATTTGGTAAATTTAAACAAATTGCGCGATCCGTAACTGAATTTTGGGCTCATCTTAATTTGATTTTTGATCCATAATGGTCTATATACCCGAAAAGGATCGAGTACGATGTAAATGTCACTCTATGGCATTCCACAATAATACATTTTTTGGCTTGATAATATACAAGCTCTTCATTCAACATGCATAATTTTTGAACGGTCGAGTAAAAAAAAGAAACATATCATAAAATATTCTTCTTACGTTTTTCATAAAAATTCTCTATATTTTAAATTTATTTGTTTAAAAATAACAATATTTTCATTATTTCAATTTATATTTTTTTATAGATTGAACAAGAATCCAATGTAAAAAGTAATACCAATGCGACACCTACCGTAAAAATGTAAAAGGAAACTTATTTGGGATTGTAGCATTTTGTTCCGCCATGACAGCATCTTCGTTTTACTTTTCCGCACACATAGTGTAAGGTGAAAAGTATTGTAATCGGTCAAAGTTTTGAAAACTTCAGAAACATGTTTTCTGGACGTTTCTGTGGTCAGAGAACCCGAATTTGGCGTTTTTAAACATGGTTTTTGTTAATCTGTACGTCGTACAGTATGTTTCATTATAGAGAGAGGTTGATTTAACTACCACAAATTTCAAGTATCTTAAAAATATTTCTGGTGTTGCCAGATGAGACTCTAAGCTACTACGCCAATTAACATTGACAGCTCTCAAATCAGTACAGTGTTTGTTGTGCAACGAAAACATTAATTCTGAACATTTTCATTCACGGTTTGAAGCCATTTTTCTGCATTTGCATCCAAAAGGACGAAGAATGTCGATTGCATCGACTGCTAAATATATTAAAGAGTCAAGGAGGTTCGTAACAAAGTGAATCCAGCAGTATTAGCACGAAAAAAATGTGAACGATCAGCCCAATGTTAAGCCAAACCGAGCCTCCTCGCCAGAGCAAGATAAGCCAATAGTTATGTTGTTCGACGAAAATTCAGGTATGTCGTTGAACCAAGGTGTTGAACGGCTACGCCATCTTAAAAAAGACGTCTCGCGCTCCACAATCAAGAAAAGATTAGATGTTGCCCGTGTTCGTTATCGCAGTAAATTGAAGAAATCACTTTTGACAGAAAACTAGAAGAAAAACGCATTGACTGGGCAAAGCATAATTCAACAAGAGATTGGAGCGAAGTTATATTCACTGACGAGCCATTCTTTTGGCTGGTGAATAGCACTACCCATGCCTAGTCTAGAGCCAAAAAGAGAATGGTCGTTCGCTCGGTAAAGTATCCGAAAAAGGTGCATGCTTATGGTTGCTTCTGTGAAGCTGGTTTTGGAAAGTTGACCGTATTCACGGGCCTTGCAAACGCCGTGAGGATGAACCAACATTATTCATCGATACTGTTACCCACCGCCAAGAAGTTCTATGGCAACGGCAATTCGAATTGGCTTCTACTAAAAGATAATGATCCAAAACACAAAAGTCGTCTCTGCTCCGTTTGGAAAGAGGAAAATGACATAAAACAAATGGAGTGGCCGCCACAGTCACCCGATTGCAATCCGATCGAAAATGTTTGGGCTATTATTAAGGCAAGGCTTCGTGGTAAAACACACCGCAATTTGAAGCAGCTCAGTTCATTCATTTAGCGCCAGTGAAAATGTTTTCAACGTGAATATGCTGAAAATTTGAGCAAAAGTATGCCCAACAGATGTGCCCTTGTGATCGAGAAAGAAGAAGAATGAATTAAATATTAATTTTTGGCGCCGTAGCTTAGATACTAAATAAAATGTATATAAAATAATTTTGTAAAACTCTTGAGTTTTATTATAAAAAATCAACCTCTCTCTATAATGAAACATACTGTACGTTGTACGTTGTACGTCGTACACAAAATTTGTTAGCAAGATTGCGCTCATCGTAGAAACTCAATTCAAAATCTGACCTCACAGGATGATTGGGGGTCCCGAGGAATAGAAATCATTAGATTTTGAGCGACTTTGATTGATGGAAAAAAATTTCATGCCTGGAGTGATACCTATGAAAAAGAGTCCAATTTTCGTCCAAAAGTCATACTTAATGTAGACTTAAACACTCAAAAATATGTATTGAGGGGTTTATTGGCACGAGAAAACCGAATCTGGGGTTATTTTTGAGATACAATCAATTTTTGATACAGTTTCCTTGAATAAATCACAAAAAAATTGAATTTTTGTATGGGAACCATGCCTGTATGCTACCTCAATGACGTGAAACTTTGCACAGACTATTTTTTACACAACAAAATAACATTTTGAAAGTTTGAAGAGATTTTAATCAAAATTAGGGGTACTTCCCAAACAAAATTTTTGGCTCAAAAACGAATATTTTGTATGGGAGGTACCCTTAATTTTGGCTAAAATTTCTCCAAACTCTCCGAATGTTATTTTTTTGTGAAGAAAATAAGCTGTGCAAAGTTTCACGCCATTAAGGTAGCATACAGACATGGCTCCACTGGGTTGCTGCAAAACACGTATCACTGGCGCCCTCACTGCATTTCATAGTGAAACAGCTCATTAGTACGTGTGTGAAATGTGCATATTTTTTCGCGCACGAACTAGATGGCGCTTATAACTAAGTGTCTTTGCAGCAATGGTGTGCATGGCTCTCATACAAAAATCCAAATTTTTTGTGACTTTAGTTATGAAAAGTGTTTCAAAAACA